GTTTCTCTTGATGCCCACATGCTTTATTTATTCTTTAGTCCAGCATGTGTCATCACCACAATAAAGCTACTTTTAACCTGTTTTCACACATTGTCATACCTGCACATTTCCACTCTGCTGTGTTGACTTTAAATAAAATAAACCGCAGGCTTCATTTCCTCTTATGGGGTATCTGACTTTCAGCAGATAAAAATAAACCTGTTGGAGAAAAGACTTAACCAACAACTATCTCTTACACACATAGGCATCACAGTCTGTTCAGAGGAAGAAAGACGTTATTCTGTATTGTCTTATTTACAGTTTGATCTTGTAGTTTTACTTCTTATTGCTTCTTAACCCTCCACAGCATAGCGTGCCCTGAGGCAACAAACCACATTTTCATGCCTTACACTGGCACAATGTGCACTTTCGTCCTCAGAAAGTGAGGACAGTGAGCTTTAAGGGAGTGACATTGAGGTAGAGGAGTGGATCCCTGAATGAGGTTTGCGGGACACTTAGGAGCTCAGGGGTCAGTTGGTAAAGTAACTGTGTCTGTGTGTGGGTTAGTGCCCACATAGCAAGCAGGTCTGGCCAGGATCTGGTATCAAGTCGGCACTGCTGGCTGACTTCTAGCATGATAAGACGTATGTCATCCAGATATGGGCCAGGGCTGGCATAGATGGCACTGTCTATCTGATGGCATGCCATATCTGGCTTGATTGTGGCTTGGTTTATGTGGCCCAGGCCTACAGAAAACAGGTCTGGCCCAGATCTGGCATCAAGCTGGCACTTCTGACTGACTGACCGGTGTTTTTGGCAGAGTTTATGTCAACCAGATGTGTGCCAGGTCTGGCAATGACGCCACTGTTTATGCGATGGCATGCCATATCTCAGGTGGTAGAGAAACGTGTGCGTGTGTGTGTGTGTGTGTGCGCGCAGGCGCATGCATGGGGTTAGGGTCAAATGTTGGATATTTTGGTGTTTTATAAAAAGCTCCCCAAAAATAGGGAGAAATATTTGTTTCCCCAAAAATTAAAAAGTCATGCAGTAGAGGGTTCAATAAAACAGATCACTGTATTCATTTTCAGGTATGCTGAAAAGATTTGCAGTTATCCATAATTTATTAATAATCTACAGTTTTCTCCTCCCTCGAGGGAAAACAAGTACAATGTATGGTGTCCAAACCACCAAGCTAACCAGCAGATTAGGAGGAGGAAGCAGAGGGGCGGGTATCAGTGAGGTCAGGTGGTTATCAGCAGAATAGGAAAGAGCAAAAGGGATGGGTGTAGTTTCTGGATTTCCATCATTAAAAAAAAAAAAAATTATGTCCACGAGAAAAAGTCTCAACACAATATAAGATAATATCACACCACCAGGGGGCAGTATAACCTGAACTATAAAGCCATGTCTGCGGTATAGGAGCTTCAAAATGAAGTTTAAATAAAGGAAATTAAAGAAAATGTAAATAGTAAAATACACAAAAGGTAAGATTGTGTTAAAGCTGCATGTTGGCCATGACAGTTTATTTAACATGTTGTGTCACAACGTTAGAAATTATGAATCACTTTCAGCCAATAATCAATAAGAAACATTTCACCCTTGCTGTAGCCACACAACAACAGGATAACAACAAGGATAATTAGCATGAATCCATGTTGTTCATGTTGTTTCTGACTCATTCGATGTCACAGCTGCTCACTGATTCTGTTCTGTTGCTGCTGCTCTCCCTGATTCAGGTTTTACATGTTTGCATGTCATCAGCTGATCTCAGAACAGCAACATGACACTAAATATTAATGGTGTGTGAGTGCACTCCCATGTGTTTCATTTATAAATTTCCTCCAAATTAACTGTGGGAACAATAAATTATAAATGGATTAATGTCTCCCTCTATTGGCCACTGGTTGTAATTACAATCCAGTGATTGTACTTGGAAACTGTGACAAGCTGGGATAAGGAACTATATCTGTATATCCACAGGACCTACCTTGAACACTGATGTCGCTCTGATGTGGAGAATAGATGACTTCAAATGTTGGCTTGGCTTGGCTTGGCTTGGCTTGGCAAGATAAGATAAGATAAGATAAGATAAGATAAGATAAGATAAGATAAGATAAGATAAGATAAGATAAGATAAGATAAGATAAGATAACCTTTATTAGTCCCACATGTGGGAAATTTGTTTTGTCACAGCAGACAGTGCAAAGTTAATTAACAAAAATTAGAGAACACTGGAAAACAATCAGAATAATATACTGTACACAACTGTACAGAATAGAATAGAATGAAATAATATAAAATGTACAATATGATAAAAAATAGAATACAAATGCTATATAAAAATGAGTAAAAATATAACTTTGTCAGAAAACAGTATTGCACTTAGTCTTATTGCACATGTGTGTGTTTGATCAGCTGCAAAAGTCTTTGTTGTGGAGTCTGACAGCAGTGGGGAGGAAAGACCTGCGAAATCTCTCCGTCCCACTCAGTGGGTGCCACAGCCTGCCACTGAAGGAGCTGCTCAGTGCTGTCAGAGTCTCCTGCATGGGGTGTTGGGTAGCAATGAATTGAAAATAGAATAACTAGGCTTTCTGATGTGGAGAATAGAATAGATAAATAATGTAGAGCCCATTCAGGTAATGCCACCAGGCGGCACCCTGGTAACTGTTATTGATACATTTACATACACATGTATAATAACTTGCATCTTGACAGTTATAGGATAGAAATACAGATACTCAGAGTTGCACTGAAGACCTCTTTGTTTTCTCTTTCAGACAAAAAGAAAATAGAAGAAGTAAAAACAGTCACCAATGTAGTTATAGTTGTTCACCTACTTTATAGGACAAGGTCATGATTGTTGGTGAAGAGAGAAAACCATCTACAGCACATACTTGCTGTGTTAGAGCATATGACCAACAGTGTTTATCACCATCATGCTGATTTCAGGGGAAAACACTGAGCTAGCTCAACCCAGCTGTTTAGTTTACCTGACTGAGCAGGAGCCTGACCTGTACCTCCACCTTACTGTGACTAAATGTTTGTGATATTTGTGTCATATTTTTAAATTCTTGTGTGATCAGTTAATGATCAAAGGGGAGCGTAATGGAAAGGTTTAATCCTTCTACTTCTTTCAGTCATGCTGACCACGATTGATGCAGAGCTTTAGTTCTCTGTGATAGTCTGTCTCCATGCAATCTTTCATATGAGATTTACCACATGTACAAGTTATCTTTTCCTTTAACTTCATCCTGTGACAGCAGCACATAGAGAGCTTCTCTCTGTAAATGTTCTACCTCACGGTCCTCTGTGTCAGATACATGCAGACTGCTGTCATGCTCTGAACTGTTAGTGACCGCTTTGCAAATAATACTCACATCTGTTTATTTCAGGTTTCCATGACAACGCCATTACAAACTGTTTAAGTGGTTGTTTTGTTGTTTTTGAAACAAAAATCAATCAAAATCAAAAACAGCTTCTGAGTTTTTGGATTGTCACAGGTAAGGTGAATATAATAGCTTTTTATTAGCTAATTTCAACCTTAATCTATTTATTATTTATGTGAATCTATTTTTTTAAGATACGTGTCAGAGATTTGATTAGGAAAATAACTGTCAATGTGATGATTAAAGCAAAGTTTAATAAGTGAAATGAAATGTATTTTTTTCTTTTGATGATGATTAGAAATAATTACTCTCAGCCTAATGTGGCAAAACAGAAGATATCAAAGTGATTTCCTTTTTCATACACCTGCTTCAATATATGTATTGTATTCATGGTGTGATTTTAAGGTGTTTTAATGTGTTTTTAAGGTCTCATGGCAGAGGACCCAACAACGACATATTATGGACTAAAAAACAGCTCAGTGTGTCTGAATGTTAAGAAATTGCCAGAATATGAACATGTCGAATGGAAATTTAACAAGACAATTATTGCTGATGATAGAAAAATCAATCCAAAATACAAAGAGAGAGTGGTTTATAGTGCTGGAAACCTCTCTCTGTGTATTAATAACCTGGGTGATACAGATGCTGGGATATATGAAGTCTCATACAGCCAAAACTTTATTACAATGTCAGAGAAACATCAAGTCATTGTTCAAGGTAAGTCACAATGAGAACTTTAGCCTGTGCACAATTGTGCCTGAAAGAAAAACAGAATCTGTCATTGTCTTTAACCACAACATCATATATCCTACAATTTAAGAAACATCCAGGTTATTGTCTGTTTTCCTTTTTGCATTAATTCCTTAAATTTATCTGTTTGGCTCCATGTCACAGATGTGGTTCCCACACCTGTCATTATAATGTCAAAGCTTGGCTCCAACCAGTCTGCTGGACTCTGCAGTATCACAGTAAACTGCTCCATCCAGGATTATTCGCTTTGGTCTGTTTGTGATGAAGACGGCTGCAGAACATCCCAGAAATCATTCAGTGAGGTCAACATCACCATCTTCACTGAGAACAGAGCTGTGGTCTGCAGAGGCAACAACCATGTTAGCACAAATAAAGCTTCTGAAAACTTAACACTGTGTAAGTATTAAATATTAATTAAAAATAACTGGTTGTTGATTTTATTTAGACAAATACATTGAATTGAATATTTTTTGTATATCGTTCCCTGTAATTTAAATGTCTAAAAAAGAAATGTTCTCATATCTTTACCCTATTGTTTGTTATCATAAACGTGATTTTATTTTTATGTCTGAAATGGAAAAAAAAATACTAATTGAAACTATGTTTTCCAAATCTGCAGGTTTTATATCTAATAAAGATGAAGAGAAATCACAAAAACTCATACTAAAAGGAATACTTATTCCTGTTTCTGTATTAATTATCCTCGGAGCATTTTCCTTCTTTTTAGCTAAAACAAAATACAAATCCTACCAGGTAAGATGTATTTGGTAACAGATATTTATCATATAACCTGCTCATTCCTAGAATTAGGAAGGTTATTTCTGGTACATGTGATAATATAACTGAATACATATTTTTACTTCATTATTTCCATGCACAAGCATCTAATGTTCAGGTCATAAGAACACTGCCATTATCTCAGTCTAGAGTCTCTTATTCCAATGATCCTGACCCTGTTTATGAGAGCGTGGACGTCTTTCAGTCCATACAGACCAGCAGCCCAAGAGAGGAAATGATCTCCATGGAAAGCCACAAAGCAGATACCATCTACAACTGTCCAGAAGTGACGGCCACCATGGAGGAGGCCCTCCAAACAGACTGACTCAGTTTACAGCAACAAATCTGCTACATACACAGAACCACCAAGAGGTCAAACAAGATCTGTGAACAGGGGGAAACAAAAGGTACAGAACAGAAACAAAACAAAGAAACTGAGGTTTTTTGTTTTTTTTAAAAAATTTCAGACAGATACTCCAAATAATGACTAAAGCACTTAAAAAATAATAACAACCCTCCACCAAGGTATCTCACTCTGGTCAGTATTTACTTTAAAAAGGAACAGTATCTTGTATATATTAATTTTGTTTTCTTTGTTCTTTTTAAACTACTTTAATACGTTTGTAGAAACAAGTGTAAAAAAACAAATACAAAGTACTTTTTCATTTTTCCTCTTGAAACCCATTTTGACATTTTGACGTCATTTTGACTGTAACTGTTTGTTTGTTTTACATGGATATAGTACATGTGTAGCATTCATTTCATTGTTCAGTGATGAATTTCAATTGAAAGTTTTTGATCATAAGTTTATTTTGTTTTCCAAAAATAATAGTTATTCAGAAACAGTTATAACCTGTTAGTGTGATGTACATAACAAAGTCATAATAAAATGAATCAGTGATACTCAAAAAGTGCCCCATGTCAACATGACCTTGGTGGATGTAAGCCAACTTTTAATGGGCTGTTAACATGACACCACTCTACATCCCTACAAAGTTTTATCACAACTCCATTTTTTCAGCTATCATGTTTACAGAGAGAAGAAAACACAAACAAGCACTACCAAAAACTCATTGGTTCAAATCCTTTCATTTCTAGCTCATTAATATTTAGCATAAAAGACACAAAGAAATGCAGCAGGGTGCAAGATTGTAGCAGCCAGGGCATACATAGAACGCCATAGCCTTTACTGCTGTCACTCTGGAAACAATTAAGTTAAATATTAATTCAGTCACATTTTGACATCCTTAACTTTCAAATCCTATTAAATGTTTCTTTTATTAGTCCACTATGCTGATGGTAAGTCAGACTTGTAATATATATATATGCATTTTCTGTATTACATATTTAATAAAGGGCAGTGAACGAGACATCACTTCACTGATCCACACCACCAGGATTTACAGCCATGACATTGTGATGGCTTTCGAATTTGGGAAGTGCAGTCAAATGGTAACGAAGAGAGGGAACGTTGTCAGAGGTGAGGGGATAGAACAACCAGAAGGCAACATTGCAGACATCAAGGACAGCTACAAGTACCTGGGAATCCCACAAGCAAATGGGAACCACAAAGAGGCTGCTACGAAAGCTGTAACCACCAAGTACTGTACATGCAGAGAGTAAGGCAGGTTCTAAGGAGTCAACTGAACGGTAAGAACAAGATCCGGGCTATCAACACCTACGCCCAGCCCGTGATCAGGTACGGAAGGAAGGAGACTGGGGACCAGCAGATAGAGGAATTGGCTGACATCCAGAAGTGCTACAAGTGGCTGGACAAAGCTGGACAAATTGACAGCACAGATGGAACGCTATAACCAAGTGGCTGGCATAGTATATAGAAAAATCTGTGCTGAGTATGGCCTGGAAGTCCCAAGATCAAAATTTGAGATGCACTCTAGGGTGAGAAACACTAAGCTAAGATCCTGTGGGACTTACAGATACAGATGGACAAAATAGTCATGTCTTACCAACCAGACATACTAGTGATAGACAAGCAGAGGAAGACAGCTGTAGTGACAAATGTAGTGATATCGAATGACAGCAACAACAGGAAGAAGGAACACCATCAGGAAGATCTGGAGGATGAGGGTAACAGTGGTCCCAGTGATAATCACAATACTTGGTGCAGTGACCTCCAAGTTAGGTGAGTGGCTCCAGCAGAGCCAAGGTACAACATCCGAGATCTCTGTCTAGAAGAGCACAGTCCTGGGAACAGCTAAGATACTGCACAGGACCCTCAAGTACCCAGCCCTCTGGTAGAGGACCCGAGCTTGAAGGAGGGGAAAAATATTTAACCTTCAAGACCTGGCATCCACATATGTGGACATCACATTTTGGGTTGTCTAGACTACAATATTACATTTTGCTCTACAAGGGCCTGATATCCTCTTCTCAGAAACTACATCAGGTAAAAAAAAAATTCTTTGTTTTTACATTCATCAGGTCCCAATCAGCCCACATAGCAAAAAGAAATTAAAAATGCATGCCGATTTTTAATTGATTCCATTTATAGTGATTCTTAATCGATGCATGCGATTAACAATCCTATAAATGGAAATGGGATGCAGACAGCATTAGGTACCTAGGGGTGGTAATACACCCTGACTTCACCAAAATGTTTGATGCCAACTATGGCCCACTGAATGAATCCATAAAATCTGATATACAAAGATGGAATACCATTGCTTTTCTGGACCTGCTCTCTAGGATTGAATCAATTAGGTTAAACATTCTTCCCCGATGGCTGTATTTGTTTCAGTCCCTACCACAAAAACTATTTGTGGCGTGGGATAGAATGTTGTCAAAATACATTTGGAATGGGAAAAAAGAAGGTAAATATAAAACCCTCCAACTAAAGAAAGATAATGGAGGTTGTGGACGTCCTTGTCTACGAGAGTGTAACTGTGCAGCTCAGATAAGCAGAGGTGGAAAGAGTACTAAAATATTTAGTAAAGTAAAAGTACTATTACTTTGCTGAAATTTTACTCAAGTACAAGTAAAATTACCTGTCTAAAAATTTACTCAAGTAAAAGTAAAAAGTAGCTAATTTAAAATGTACTCAGAGTAAAAGTTACATAGTTACAGACTACTCTTCTGAGTAGTGCAAAAAAAACAATAGGATAAATCTCAAAGTATTTTTTTTAATTAAAAGAAAAACTTTACAAATTAAACTGCAAGTCTATATATCAAAATGGATAATGGTCACCAAACCAACCAACCAAACTGTCAAGACCATATAATTCTTTTACATGAGAATGTGTTTTAAACTGTCAAATAAGAGAACAAGTACTGAATTGAGCTGTACGGCAGCTGCTATAAAAATGTGTTTTGATTTTTTAAACTTGGCCCTGCTCTGTTAATTTTGAGGAGCAATTCAATTCAGTTCAATTCAGTTCAATTCAATTCAATAAAACTTTATTGATCCTGAAGGTTGACCCCGAAGGAAATTGGGTTAAGGCTGCCGACCTTTGCCAGCGCCATCTTACCCTTCTGACCATACATACATTACACAAACATCACATGGGGAAGACAGGTCAGAGAGGTATAACAATGGAAAATGCACAACATGAGGAAAGATAAGGAGAAAAAAATAACTCCCCCCAGACTGAGCTCCAACAGGGAGATCAGTTTGAGAACAGAAAAAAACACCTCTGCACATAGCACATGTTATTCTTTTGCCTGCAGTGTGTAAGTAGCCGCTTCTGTCTTCTGTCTAATTTAACTTTTTAAAAAAAAAAAAAATTATTATTATTAACAAACAGTAAAAATGTAAGTAAACACATTTTCTTTTGGCAATTTACCGATCCAGTAAAAAAAATTTAAGTTGCGTGGACAACAACGTGCCCAATAACAGCTTATGTCTTAACTTAATGTGATTAACTTGAGCACAGCCTTTTTGCTGAAATAAATGTACATGTAAATGTACATTTATTTAAATGTAAATGTAAATGTATAAAGTTTCATTTAACTTACCTCTAAATGCTTGCGCAGGTTTGATGTGGAATTTTTAAAAGCTGCTAACTCGGTCTCTCTGGACAAACACAGCTTACACCGCATAATAAAGCTGTTGCCTTTCTTGCACTTGAAGCCGAAATGGTCCCTTAAATACGGCCAGGGGTTCACATCGGTTTCTTCGAGTTCAGGGTCAGCAGAATTCGACGGGGTTTCTTTTTTCACTGGATCCATACCACCGATGTCAGACTCCATCTTTATCGTGACCCAACGCCAATTTGTTCTACTACCCATCATTCCCTGCAGTATTTCCAAAGTGCAATGTTGTTGTTGTTTTTTTGTTTGTTCTTTTAATTTACTCAGTAACGGGTATGATTGAAAATGTAGTGAAGTACAATAAAAAATATACTTAAGTAAAAGTAAAATTACCGACTTGAAAAATGACTTTAAAAAGTACAAATACACAAAAAAACTACTCAATTACAGTAACGCAAGTAAATGTAATTCGTTACTTTCCACCTTTGCAGATAAGACTATTGATATGTCTCTGTTGTGTATATTACGCCACGGGACGGAAAGATGTTGAAGGAACAATTGTTAAAGGAGTACCAGTTAAAGCCTTAATATCGGACATAAAACTATAGAACAAAATACACCTGCCAGATGAACCCATACTACAAGTATTGATATCTGCTTGGAATGAAGCAATAAAAATTTGTGATTTTAAATACCCATGTCAATAATATGATGCTAACTTGGCTGCCCTGCTACGCCCCTCCCCAAGTTTCTATGGGGTTTTCTTTGTTTCTTTGTTTGATTTGTTTTTCTTTTCAATTAATGCTTTTATTCTTTTTGCTTTGTTCTATTTTAGTTGTTTTAATTATTATTATTTACTTTTTTCCCCTATTTTTTTTGGTCATTTTCCAATTATAAGTTTAAAATTTTGAAAACAAAAGCAATGTACAAAGCCATACTGCGTGCTTTCTCAATAAAAGACTCAATATTAAAAAATGCATGCCATGAAAGAGTTCGGTTCTTAGGAGGAAAATATACAGTTACTGCAACATAAATAAGAATTTAATACAAAAGTAGATGGTATCATCAGTCTTCCATCAATGCTGAGTTTAATTCTTCAATATGATCAGAAACTCAGTGATTTATGCATTTGCAGAAATGTTATCAAACATGGTGAAAGTTTAGCTATTTACTTTATGTTCTTGTCCACAAGTTTCTCTGTTAACGTCCACTTCCTCTTATGAACCTGAAACTAAATCAGAACAAATACAGTGTAAAAACAGAAACAAATATATAATGGTGCTGATGTTGTGAGTCTGCTTTGTGAACTTCTACATTCATATTTTGAAAAAACATATT